TCGTCACTGGACATTCCAGAGGGTCCCCAGATCTGAGCTTGTCTGCAGACACCAGGGTGAATGGGCGAACTGTGTCATGGCCTTGCAGGGTCGTGTTCTACACAGCTCAGCAATTACACGGTGCTGTCATGGAGCAGTGGTGTAATAGATAGCCCTTCCCTGAAATTTGATCTGGTGATCACAGAGTCAGGGGAGTCAGGGGGAACACAACACCCCCCCTCAGCTCGCATCTCTGATCCGATGTAAAGGGACTGGGGTGAGGTGGGCATCACCTTTTCTCTTACACAGGATAAAGGCGAGAGAAGGCAGCACATGGACTGCAGCACCAGCAGGAAGAGGAGCTGGGCGTGGAGCACATCCTTGGTCCCGGGTCCCTGAGAACCTCCTACCCCAGGGAGGACAGGTGGAGACACATGGTGATTTGTGGAGGCACGGGGCTCTTGGGTGCTGACAGCAGGCAAGGGCCTTCCTCTGCAGCTGGCAGGGACATGAAGCCTCTCCCCAGAGCCAGCACCCACCCTGAATCCAGAATCCTACCTCCTACCTCAGACTGGCTCCGGATAGGGCGGGCTTCAGAGCTGTCATACACAGGGTCGCTACAAGTTGCAGGCAATTCAACCATTACATAACAACAACAGCAAACCTCCTCTCTGGGAGGGAGTAACCAAGACAGGCCGGGATCCAGGGAAGCTGTCCTGCACCTCCTTCCGAGAGCGGGACACATCCCCACTCTGTCCCACTGCCCGGTCCTTCTCTCTTCCATGTCTTTCTTATTTTCAAGTCCATAGTTTGTTTCATGAGGACCTCTCCAGGCAAGGCCCAACCCCATCCATCCCTCCCTCCCTCAGTCCAGGGGTCAGTTGCCAGCAAAGGAAAAGGATGGGGAGGTTAAGACAGAGACTGAAAAAGGGAGGAGCCTGTGGGCACCATCACCTGGAACCAGATGTCTCCTCACACAGGATGTGTTCACACAGGGCATCTCAAGAAGGACCTAGCCTCGCCCAGCACATCTCCTCACACCTCTCTCTCTCTCTCTC